TCTCTATTACATTCAGACCCCGGGGACAAGCTTGTAGAGTCCATCCTTTGCCTTTTCAACCCACCAGCTCTGACGACCCACAGAGCCCCTGCTTTGCCTGAGGGCTCCCAGGGTATAAGGGGGTGGCCGGTCCCGGGCAATTGCAGAGCTTCAAAGCACTGCCTGGCTACCATGGGCAGAGTGAACGGGTTACAGTTAGAAAGGGAGACGGCGGGAATCTGTTACCCGCCTTCTCTGAGCCTTCACGTACCCCCTTTTCTGAGTACTGAGGGCCTTAGACCCCATGGACTCATGGCCCAGGGGGCCAGGCCGGTAATCTGAACACGAGCAGAAGGCAGCAAGCCCCTGAAGGCAGTTCTCCTGGACAACCCTGCCTTCCCACACAACCGGGGCACCCTGCCTACCTGCCCACACAGAGCTGGGGAAAGGGTCAGGGCAGCTCCTCACCCCCACACCCAGCGCCTACCCAGAACAGAGGAGCCGCTGGCTCCTTGACAGTCTCAGCACCTGGGACATGACCCAGAAAACCGACTGCTGACAGCTCCCTGGGGTACAGACGTGGCCCAGGCTCCAGGACCCTCTCCCTCTATAGACCTGCTGGTAGGATCGCTTTGAAAGCAGCGTTGGCTTGGCTGACACCGAAAACCCAGGGCCTGGCACCCAAAGTCGGCTGGGCAACACGGAGCAGCCTGCCTTCCCTCCTCACTCCTGTCCAGGGCAGCCTGGCAGAATCAGGTGTCGGAGCTGAGCAGGGCACCCAGGAGGTCAGCCGCTTCACCTACCTTGTTTACCGACCTCCAGCTGATATTAGAGAGCACCCAAGTGAGATCTCAGAGTCCCTGAGCTGGTTCGGCTGGCGGGAATGAAGCTGATGCCGCGGTGCTACGGACTGTTAAAGTTTAACCGGCCCCAGCCTTCTCCTCCTCCCCGTCTGGACGCGGGGAAGGAGCACCCGGTGACGCTGAGCTGCGCTGCGCTCCACGCCCAGCCGGCTCTGAGCTGCTGGCTACCCTGTAATTACCTGACAGCTCTGACTGAGTTTAGGAACCGCGAGAAACCTCAGTCTCATCTCTGGGATCTGGAGGAAGGAAGGGAAAAGAAGAGGCATTCTAAAAATGCGGACTCACCAGTTCTCAATCTCCCCTGGCCGGTGTGTGGGAAAGGGCGGGCGGCTGGGCTGGCTGGGGCGGGGCGAGCCATCCCAGGCTTGGGCTCCTGGACCCGGCCCACTCTCCACAGGCCCCGCAGTGAAGGCGTGGCTCCCAAGTTCCACGTCCTGCGAGAGGGGACCATGGCCCGGGGCTCAGCAGCCTCTTCTGGGTGCCGGGCAGCCTGTGGCGAGAACAAGGGGAAAGGCGTTTTAAGAGGCGTGGGTAGCCCATATGCTGTGCCGTCTGGAAGGGTCTGCAAACAGGGGCCCCCTGCTACCTAGGATAGCACCCCAAGTGTAGCAACCCCTCAGGACCCTGGACTCACAGGAGGGGACTCGGTACTGACTATGGCATTTCCAAATGGGCCAGGAGCGAATCTGTGTCTGCCACTCACGGTGAAGATCTTCGAGGGGCCACACTGGGTAGCAGCCCCGTGTGGAGGAAGCTCCAAGCCCATGCTTCCAAGCAGTGGTAAGTTTAATCCTTTTCCTCCGTGACATCTCATTTTCTAATTGCACCCAGCTGCTTGCTTAAGTCTCAGCCTTCGGGCTGTGTCCCAAGCCAGCGGCCCAGCAGCGAATACTCCTGAGTATTAGCATCTCACTGAGGAGGGGCTCAGAAGAGGCTGGCTCGGGGCCAGGGGCAAGCTGGGTTTACATTCAGCAAATCCTCAGAGCCAGTTCATTCACACATTCAAGTAACTCAGTATTGAGGGTGTGGCGGGCACCCTGCCAGGCATTCATTCAGTTCTTTCATAATCATTTATTGAGTGCCTACTATGTGCTGGGCACCAGCAGAAGTCATCTGATTAGAAAGAATGGACCCTCAAACATCCAGTCAGAAGAGAACAAACCTCCCACAAACCTTCACAGCGTTAGGTAAAGGTTTATTGAAGTGGTGGTGCGTGCCTTTAATCCCAGCACTCCAGAGGCAGAGTTCAAGGCCAGTCTGGTGTACACAGCGAGTTCAAGGCCAGCCAGGGCTGCATAGTGAAACCCTGTCTCAAACACAAACAAACTTACACAGTACAAACAGGTTAGGGCGGGTTAGAGAGGTTCGCTAGGAGCACGGATCCAGGATAGGAAGTGGACAAATGGAGAGTTCAAGCACAGATTTTTGGATTTGGAGGTTTTGTTTTGAGTTTGGTTATTTGAGACAGCGCCTCAGTATGTAGCCCAGACTGTCCCTGACCCACCATGTTCCTCACTCAAAAGTCTTTCTTGAGTACCTACTGTGTGCAGAGCAGCCTCAGGAACATTTAAGCTGACCAGACTTTTGTCGAGGCCAGCTGCAGAAGCAAAGTCAGCTTAAAGAGGCACCACGGAGTTTGGTGTGCAGACTGAGCTGGGCACCCAAGGGACTTGCTACAGAGCTCCTGGGACTGTGGACACTTTCCATCTCCCCACCCCTCACTGTACTGACAACCCCCTGCCAGGCAGCGAGAACACGTGTGGAACAGGGTCTGTCTCCGCGGCCCGCCCCCCCCTGAGCGTGAGGGGCTCACAGAGCTGTGCCCACATGCTCCACGATACCTTACTACATGAGTATCCTGAAGTGTGCGAGCATGCGTGCGCGCATGCACACACACACACACACACACACACACACACACACACACACACGAACCAAAGCCTGGAAAGGAGGAGCAGCCACCGAGACTCAGTCCTAAAGGCCACCACTGCTAAAGGTGAGGGTGAAATCGGCAAGACAGACCGAGGCAGGATTAAGTAAGGACAGGGCTGGGCTGGGGGTGGAAACAGTGACTGGAGGTGGGAGGTCCTCAGAAGTGGATGGAGAGCAAGTAGGACAGTCAGGTGGCCATGGCGAAGTAAGAGAAAGCCCTAGAGAGAGCTGGGCAGGGGCTCACACCTACCATCCCAGCACTCAAAGGCTGCAAGTTCCAGACCAGCCTAGGCTGCAAAGCAAGTTCAAAGTGGCTCAAGGATTTGGAGAGGGCAGAGGAGGCAGCTGTTTCCTTCTCTGGGGGAAGTTTAGCTAGGATGGGAAGGAGACAGCTGAGACAGGGGAGAGGTGGCATGTGAGATCAGACAGAGGGGCAGGAACAAAGCATCTAGAGGCAGAGAAATAAGCAAGAATCTGGGGTCGGAGACCGAAGACTTCAGATCTGATGCTCACAGGGCCACGTACTGAAGACAGTGGGGTCCTGGTCTCTTCCTTCCTTGACTGACGACAATGTGGGGTACCCACCAGGAAGTGGGCAGGGATGTGGAACAAAGGGTCAGGAAGATGCTGATCCATGTAAGTCACCCCACACTGCTGATGCTCGGAGATGCGTGGAAGGTGCAGAAGCAGGAGGAGCAGGTACAAACGCCCTCCCCGGGCAGCCTGGCACAGAGCTGGGCATAAAGCCAACCCTGCAGGCCAACGGGGAAAGACGGGAGGGCCGTCCTCTGCAGGTAAGACCATGTAGGACAGAGTTCCAGGGGACATCAGCTCAGTCTGGGGGTGGGGCAGAGGTAGGAGACCATTATTTCTGTGCTATCAGGAAGGGAAGTTGGAGAGGCAGCCTGAAGAAAGAGGAAGGGTGTGTGCTAGATCCCCAAGAGGAAAAGGCAGCTGAATTTAGCAGCTGGAAACCCTGATGTGAGGTCAGGAATCTCAAGGAATCTCAAACAAGCCCAGGGTTCCAGGCCCAGAGAGAAGCACATACCCTCATACACGAAGTGTCTGATTTTAGGGTCCCGGGACCTCTGCTCATCTGGAATTCACGGGGCAGAGCTATGAGATTGGCTCAGGCCTTAGCCCTGCCACCTAGGAGAATGAATCGCCCAGTCTTGGTCTTATCTCCATGTGTAAAGTGGTGAGAGATGCCCTTCACAGGACTGGCACAGGCAGCAGACAGGGCACGTATGAAGCGCTGGCATGTACAAAGAGCCCGAGATGCTATCTTTTGGTGTACTGTCCCATGGGTGGGTGAATGTGGAGGCCGGTTGGGGGAGGGGCACTCGCCTGTCTGGGTTTAAGCCAGCCTGGTAGAGCTGCCCTCCTCCTGTCGTAGACCAGAGACAGTGCAAAGACCGAGGAGTAGACTTCACAGTCAACTATACACACGCCACGGCTGGAAGACGGCTTGGTTCTCCTGGGTGAGCATTTTGGGGCTGGCTAGACTGGGCTAGGTTTTCCCTGGCACACAGAACATGTTCTGGGGGGAATCCAGACGTCAAATTCTCTGCTCCCTGGTGCCCATACAGCGTGCAGAACTCACTACCTCGGGCCCTGAAGTCCAGCCACACAAACACACAGAACCGTTCCGGGGCTGCATTCCTAGCAAATGACTCTCTCTGGCCAAGGGCACGGGGAAAAATCCTACCAGGCTGGGAAGGGCACTCACCCTGTCTGGGGCAGAAGGACACTAAGGAAGGTGAAGCTTGGGTAGTCCCAATGCCTAAGCTTGAGACATGCATTCAAGGGTGGGAGGTGACAGACGGACTTAAGAATTTGAACCCAGCTTCCTCTTCAAACTGTCTCTGGACCGGGCCTTTCGCTGTATCAGCCAGAGTTCCGCTGTTACTTGGAGTAGAAAGGCTGAAGGGGGACAGACAGCGTCTGGGCGCCCCCTCCCTGCAGGGATTCCTCAGCTGCAGCTGTCAATGACTGGATTCGTCTGGGCTTGTGAGGGTTATCTCTGAGGCCTTTCCTCCTAACCTAGGGGCTGGCGCACCCCACCTCGGGCCAGGCCAGAGAAAGCAACTACCCGGGGACACAGAGGGTGGGCCCCAACTGCAGCCTTCCTGGGAGGGACCCGTGCGGGGGAAGGGGGCGCGCTGGTTGACAGGCAGCTCCCAGGTCGGCTCTGCACCTTCCCCACCAATGAAATCGGAAGCGGGTCTCGGCGGCGAGACCCCAGAGGCCGTGCCACCCCTCAAGGCCAGGTCCCTGCGAGAATCTCCGACTGGACGACGCAGTGGGACCCCCAAGCACAGCCGGGTCCCTGGGGCCCGGCCGCCGCGTGGGAGGGGGATCGGGACGGAGGGGTCCCCCGGCAGGGTGGGCGCGGCGCCCATCGGGCAAGCCTGGAGGAACCGGTCCCAGCCCGTCCTAGCCTGCCCGGACCCCGACTCACCGGCCTAGCGGAGACAGGATCCCAGAGTCGCCGCAGAGCCCAGGGCTCGGCCCGCTCCGGCCCGCCCTCGCGAGGCAGCTCCACGCCGCCGCCGCCGCCTCCTCCTCCTCGGCCCGCCCCGCGCCCGCCCCTCCCGCACTTTCCACAGGAAATGATTAACTCAGGCCGCGGCGCGTTCCCATGGCAACGGGCTCCGGCGGGGGGCACGCGCACTCTCGCGCACGCGCCTGCCCCGGGCGCATGCCCCCTTCTACTCCTACCCCCAGCACGGGCGGGTACAATTTATGTGTACACCCTCTGGTGCACGCGCCCCGGCACACCTGCCTGCGCCTTCGGAGCAGGCTCACACCCTCCACTGCACACACTGCACTGCGTGCCTGCACACTCGCCCTTTGCCTGGCCCGCAGGAACGCCGGCGACCTCTCACTCACAACCCAGGTGTTAACACTGAGAAACGGTTACACTCACCCTCAAACGGTTTGCACTCCGCCCCTAACCCAGGGGCAGAAGTTTCAGGCACTCCAGCTGAGATTCACACACATCCCGGCGCACAGACTCGCATCTTAAGAATACATTTTCCCATTCTAACACTCTCGCACATGCTCTTGCACACGAGATCAAGCCTATACACACACACACGTTCACCTGCTCTGCCATGCGGGCATGCACACACTCTCTCTCTTCGACCTGCCTGCCATACTGCCTCTCCAGCTGCGCCCCTGCTCCCCAGCCAATGAGCATCTTGAGCAGCTTGCTTGGGGTTTGTTAAGGTAACACATTCTCATAAGCTCCAGCCAAACAGCTCCGAGTATTACAGCCCCCGATCTGTCTTTCAAAGCTCCTCCTGGGGCGCCTGAGAGCCTCAGAAGAGGCCTGGGAGAGAGCAGGCCTAGCCAGCCAAGAGAGACAGCTGACCCAGAGGAGCCACTCTGTTCTTTGTCTCCCACACAGAGAAGCATTTATTTCAGTCGCAGTATGCCCACTCGAGGGTGCGGAAGGAGAAAGCGGCGCAGGAGCCCATCCAGCAGAGACTGATGGTCCCCAGATAACCTGAGAAGGGTGGGGGTCTGCCCCGGCAGGCTTGGCGAGGATGGCCTAGGAGGGAACTCCAGAGGGTCTGCAGCCTCAGATGGGCCTGATTCCAGCTGCTGCGTCGTCCAGTCGGAGACAGAATCTGGACCAAGACGGGGACACCGGCGTCGGCCCCACAGAGTGCCTGGTACCAGAACAGTACAATAAACCCACAGCTGGAAGCAAGCACTATATTTATTGGAGGCTCCATTCGTGGGGCAGGGGGTTGTCTATCATTAAAATTTGAGTATAAAAGCAAAAGCCTTGTCCTGCCTAAGGGCTGGGACACTGACATTAACCTCAACTTCCTCCTAGCAAAGCCAAAGTCAGTGGCTGGTTTTTTTTTTTGTTTTTTTTTTTTAAATTAATAAAAACGTTTATTGTTCCCTTTTCTCCGATCACAAAAGTAGTGGATGTCCATTGTAAGCACAGTCCCGCCCACCGGGAATAAAGGCTGCCAACACTTCATCTAGCACAACCGTTCCCTGGGCACATAACAGACACCACTTATTCAGCCCGAACTCAGTGCCAGGCACTGTGCTGGGCTCTTTAGCCACAAGCTCCTGTGGGATCCTGCTCAGCCCAGGAGGCAGCACATCCTGTGTCCACTTGTTCACGAGAGGAAAGGTTCGCTGGCAAACTCCGAGTCCAGCAGAGACGTGTGCATATATATGTCCGTACATCGAGGGCCTCCGTGGGAACACAGGAAGCACCAGGCAGGGGAACATGAAGATTGAGGCATTAGGAGGAAGCATTCTTTTTTCCCTGTTTTTATTTGATTTTTATTCACACCTATTA